ATGGTGCATGATGATGTCTGGAACTTTCAGAGCTTTTGAACTTTAATGTTATAGGAACATTCTTTGGATCACGAAGACAAAATCTGTTGACATTTTTTATGATCTAATTACTGTGGTAGACCAGCATGGCAGTGAACACAGGATATCAAGACAAAAATTCACAAGGTGAGAAGGCTGGCAAGAAACAGAGTGGTTTTCCAGCGTACTGTAATGAGAGGGACCTGACAATGATGATGATGATAAAGGAGTTAAAGACTTCTAATAAATTCTAACTAGGTCTACTGACTATAATATACTAATAACCAGTTGGATTTACATTATCCTTGAGTTTAAGTCTGGATCAAGTTCCAGTGGAGGTGAAGAAAAGGTGCTGGCGTAGGATAGAACACACGCTGAGAAAGGCTGTGAATAATCTAACTAGACTGCATTTGAACAGGAACCCACAGGGACACAAAAATAAAGGAACCTCCCCCCCCCCCCCCCCAAAAAAAAAGTACAAGGAGAAGGGAGCTAGAGAGTGAAGTTAAAAAGACGGAGAGGATATAGGGAGAGCTGCATGCAATAGCGAAGGCCAGAATGACTTGGCATGAGTTGTTTGAGGGATAAAAGGCAGAAAAAGAATGCATTTGCTGCTAAATCTTGTGAGAAAGTTAATAATTGTTCGTGGGAATGGTGATTTTATTCTTCCATTATCTTTTGTGGATCACCATGCTGTTAGAACTGTTATTGTGAGACCCTTTAATATATATTACCGAGACTGATCATCTGTAAATCTGCCCTTAGTGGTGGTATATCAATTCTTAAAATCTGATAACAAACGGTCAACATCTGCTGCAACCATTTTCATTTAAGTTTCCTTTAGAAAAACAGAAACAAAAACATGTGTCACTAAGTGATTAGTTTGACCAAATGCTGCCAAAGATGTCAGTGTTAGCACTCACATTAATTAACAAGACTTTTCTTTTTAAAAGAAGGGGGGAAAAGGGGGGTGTAGGGGACTGAACTCCCCTCAGACAATTTGCAAGAGGGTGAAATGTCCCCACCCCCAGCCCAAAAAACACACACCAGGAATAGACGTTCTTATTGTAAGTTTTTGTGTATATATTTAGTATTATTTCAAATATATTATCATATCTATTAGTGGTTTAGCTCACAATAATCATCATAATTTTTACAGCACACTTAAACAAGACATGATTTATACAAGATCAGCGCTGTTCAGCACACATTAATAATTATTACTGCACACTTAAACAAGACATAGGCTCTATTACCCCCCCCCCCCTCTCCCCCTTCATGAAAACTATAACAGGAGGCTATGTGTCACCCTCCTCCAATGACTCCTTTGTGGCAGTGCTCCTGATGCAAAAATCTAAAATATGTATCTGAGGCTGAATAAGTGTTTTATATTTATACAGATATAAGAATGCACTAGCATTAGTAATTACATTTCCTTGTTTTAAAACCATTACAAGAAAACAGATACAACAAAGTATATCACAGTGCACTTCACTGCAAATAGAGAAGATAGATAAAATACTCTATCAAGTGTGTTATATTAAAGCTGGTCACTCACTAACATACTTTATTATATAGATTAAAGAGATAGATTATTTTTCAAGAAACATTTATATTTAGCTACTTTATATAATATTTGAAGAGTTTCTACAATTGAATTCATAAACAACAAACAAGAATAGCATATTAAAACTGAATGAAGATAAAAACTGCATCAAGTTTCATAATCACAGATTAACATTCATATTATAATATTTTAGCTTTGCTTAACTCAAAAAACGACTGCCGTCACCAACCATTAATAAATTTTCTGCATTCTTTCTCCAGAAACATAAACATACACATACTTGATAATAACAGTTATGATAGAGACAAAACAGTGCACAAAACAAGAACAATTCAACTGCTTGCCTTGCAATTATACAACTGGACTTGATCTCCATTTCGTCCCTGTAAGAAATCTACATAATGTTATGTTGTCTTGCAGGAGAAAGAACTGTAGCCCATGAAGAATATCGATCCCCAACGACACATTATTCTCCCCTCACCAATTTCCCTTCACGTGCACGATCGATCCATCCCAGTCCTGAGCGAAAATCGAAACCGTATGTGAATGAAGGAGCGCTGACTAGCCAGCCACGAATGGTTGCAGTGGAGAGGAGGAGGTGAGTCGAATGTAATGATGGCTATTATTTATATTATCCTGCTATGTTATGAAATGTACATTTCCTGTTTCTGATCTTTCTTGTAAAGTGGACTAAATAAATATTTTAAATAATAATGTAATACTAATAGACAAATCAGTACCCACTTCAAAGACGAACTATGGTACACAGTCACAATTAGGTATAAAATCCTGGTTTAGTCACAGTAAATCGAATACTCCTCCACATTACAAATAATGTCGAGGTATGTCTCTGTGTTCCAGGTTTAGTGGAAACTTTAGTCACAGTGTTTGTTTACATTATCACATCCTGCTTCAGATTTGGTGTGATATCAATAACAAAACAGTAAGTTTCCAGGGAATGCTTGGTTACTTCTCTCAAATTTTTTGAAACAACGTATAACTAGCAGACTAGCTATCCTTACTTTAAATAAACAAAAATTAAACTTAGGTTCTAGATATCACCACAAAAGCAGTACTTTCTAACATAAAACTTCAATAGATGCCAGAAATGGGCGTCATCACTTGTTGGTGTTGAGAACTTGATTCAAGTTTGATTCGTTGTTTCCCTGGTGTGATCGCACTTTTGTACAGACACTGTAATAGTCAATGGCGGCTTGTCAACAGATGAGATCAGCACCAGGGCCTATCTGACGCCTATCCAAACACTGATAATAATAGATATTACAGATATGGTACTCATACACATTCATGTTATCATTGTTTACAATGTTATATTGATGCAGCATGTACTTTATTCTAAATATTTGAATATAATAATATCATATTTTAAATATAAATAAATAAAGTCAACAGTCAGTGGAGGTTTGTTTGTGTAAATAAATGACTAAATGTGAGAGATCTGCGGATTTCCTGGTCGCATCGGTCGAGATATTTAAAAAAAGTCATCCCAATATGGAACGCAGTTTTTCATTATTTTAGCCCTACCTGACCTAAAGCTCTGAACCTAACTGCCCCCTGTACCTGAGCTCCTGGGCATCAACACGAAAAAACCAAAATGATATTTAAAAATATTAGTTACAAGAACATGCAAACAAGTGGTTAGAATAACGTAGATACTTTAGTCAAATTTTTAAAATGCCCTCTACACCAATAAAACCAGCACAATTAGATAATTAGATAGCTGTAAACAATCTCTTTCCAACGGTACCTCATTTAGGATTGTATGTCATTTCTGAGCATATGTAGGTTTTTGTGGAGATGAGATGTAAAAAACAGCTGTTGAAAACTTGCGTCTCAGAAACAAGAAGTTTTCTCTGCGCAACCAAACTGCGCACTTTCATTTTGGCTTTCTTTACATTGGACAAGATGGCAGACAATTTTTCTCAGACACAGCCACATAATAGCAATTGCCTGAAAAATGTCACTGTAAACCGAAGTAGCCATAAATAGGAAAGAAATTTTATATCCAAATGTAAAATTGGACGGAGAATTCAATTATAACTAGCATTACCATGTCTGGTAATGTTTTAAGGCCTAAAGCCAACATTGAAAACAAAAATTATACTTACCGCTATTTTCAATCAAACTGATGTAACAGAAAAACAGAGGATGTCCGGCTGTCGTAGACATGCGCTGTTAATCGGGTTCATTCCCGTCGTTTTCAGCTATTTATAGCTGGTGAAAATCACACCAATCGCAAAATTTCATGAGAGATTAGGACCCATCCCGAAACCCCAGCCGACATTTCCCAAACAAGTTTCAAACGGTTTCCATGGTAACGGAAATTGCCAAAAAGACCGCAAATTGTCGAAACTGTAGTCGCTAGAATAGGTTGAAACTTGGAGACATTGTAGAAAATATGTTTACCTTTCATCATCTAGCTCCAATATTCCACCTTTGTGTGCAGTTCCACCCTGAATGTTCGGCATTGTTTCACAAAGTGAGCCCAGATGTTGCTGTTTGAGAGACGTGCCCCCTTCTCTTACTATCAGTCTAGTTTTAAATCTATAATTTTCAAGACTCTCGTCATCACTTGAGCTCACACTGACTCTTTAACTTTAAATAGGAGCGTATTCTTCACGAAATTCTGACTCATCAGTCTAAATCAACCGAAGTATCGATCACTTGTTGGACTGTGAAAAGCCTAGACCTACTTCACTTTTCTGTCGATGTGCCTGGTTCATCAGCTGCTCGTTTTATCATGAATTTTTTTCACGTCAGACCACACAAAGAAAATCCAGACACACGTGGGGAGCAATTCTCAATAACTAACCACATGGTCTGATTACAATTGGCTAGTAATTTTTAGTTTGTGACGCATTGTTTCCTCATAGTACGCAAAACCCTACATTGAGTTGCAGCGGTTTAGCGGCAAATTAGGAAATTCCCGTAATAGCTAGCCAGCAGTCTGGTAGAGTTAAAGCCCCACTCCACCTGTTGCCAGGGGCCCTAATATAGCCAAACGTATAGGTTTCAGGGACCTTTCCCAGGTGATCCTAATTTGTGATTTGAATTGTGACACTTTGTGTCATCGGATGTTTATCACTCGGTGTGATGTCCTGGTGGGGTTTGAACATCAATCAATTGGTCAAGAAATGTGAAAGCACAAAATGGTAATTAATTAAGAATAAACAAGTACTGTAGTCGTCCAGTCTTCCCCCCCCCCCCCCCCCCACAAAATGAGGGGCACTGGAACCCACAAGTAATAATTTACTTACCATTTATCCAGTATGCTTCATTATGTAAATAAGGGTCCTTCACTTGTACTCTGCAGGACAGTTAACCAGCGTATGTCAGTAAGTGACCGTAAATAAGGATTGTCTGGTGAATCCTGTGTATTCGGTCATCAGCCTCAATGGCATCAATCAAGTACACCAGGTTGCCAACCGCAGATGACAGTGATGACAGTGATAGCAAGAGAATGACATTCGACTACTCATCTGCATTTACTTATGAAGACAAGAGCCATTTTGGATCAAAATACAAATCAGCTTTTACATACGGAAATGAGGTTTCCAAGCTGAAGACATCTGATATCAGTAAGTATCCTTTGTACAAATTGTGTAGATTATACAACTAAGTGCAAAATAATAATTTCTTCATAAAGTCCATGCCGTATAGTCATGTCTGTCCACAAGCTTCTGTTTCGTGTACTTTCAGTCAACTCTTAACACAGATGATCCTCCATGCCATGATGCCAAACTGTCTAGCCTCATTTCTGTCAGTCTTCCTCTGCCTCTTCTCCCCTCCAGCCTTCCTACTGTCATGAAGAACTTCAGTTTTCTCCTTTTAATCACATGACCAAAGAATATATATTGTCTCCTTCTGGTCTGGGCAGTAAGTTCTCTTTGTGAGCCAGTTTCTTTCAAGACATTCTCATACTTTTTTTTTCCATCTGTCCAGGGTATTCTCATCATTCGTCTATAAAACCACATCTCCACAACTTCCAAATAAGGTTTCACAAATCTACCAACTGTCCAGGGATTCACTTACATATGTCAAGATAGGATTTGTAAAGTTTTTAAGAATTCTCTTTCTCATCTCAATTGACAAAGAAAGATTGCATAAAATAATCTTAATTTTGTAAAATGTGCCTTTGCTTGAGCTATTCTACATAATAACAGAGAATAGATATCTTAGAAGAATTGCTGGAGTAACACGAACAGATACAATGAAGAAATGAGAATAAGACTAGAACTGAAATCAGCCATACCATTCATGAAAGAGCAACAGATGAGATGCTTTGGTCATCTGACAAGAATGCCTTGGTAAAAGCAGAAACAGTGAGCCACACTGAAGAAATATAATAAACACAGAGCATAATATTTTATTGACTAATCTAACCTAAAATTATAATTATAACTTTAACTACTTTCGTCCTTGGTCAGATTTCCGAACAAATACACAAATAAGGCAAGAATCCAGGCAAGAGTATGTGTCTAATTTTATACGAAAACGCCGCTGGAACTATGTCGGCCACGCCCTTAGAATGGATAAATCAAGACTTCCTTACCAAGCCCTCATTTGGACACCACAGGGGAAAAGATCTCGTGGAAGACCAAGGGAAACCATACGTAGAACTATCATTAGGGAAGGCTCGCTCATGGGCCACTCAAACATCCAAGACCTACAACGGATTGCAACGAACCGCCATGCATGGAGAGTCATGACCTCTGCCCTATGTGCCGCACTCGACACAAGAGGAAAGACTAACTAACTAACTTTCGTCCTTTAGTTTGTCTGTCTGGCTCCCTTTGGCATACACATTTATTACTTTTAAGCTGAAATCCCATATAATAAATACAGACCATGCAAAATATTAAACGACAGTATTAAAAACAAATTATTATCAATTGATACAATGCATTAGAAAGAGCACACAGAAGATCCTTTCACCCCCCCCCCCCCCCCCCCCCCCCCTCAGAGAGTAGACTAAAATTATATCTGCCTGGTACTGAAAACGGTTTAGCAGGAAACATATTGGAAGATGGTCGGTACTGAATGAGTTAGAGGTTTATTGTTTGTTGTTCATTTAAAGATCATCTTCATCGCACATCAGACATGACCATGTGTGCTCCAGTCTCTTTCTGAGTATGTCTCCAAGTGTTTTAAAGCTAACAAACTCCCATTCTGTTCTGGATCATGAAAACCTCACAGAATTTAGTCTGTTGTATGGCATTGATGATGTCTCTCCTGTCCATAGATGGCCCATTTCTGACAGCCAGAGCCTCTGCTCTCTCATAGCTTTTCACTCCAGCATGCCCTGGAACAAAGGTAAAGGTAATTTTTCAGAATGCTGCATGTTGTATCAGATATCGCCACAGTTTTCCTATATGCCCCACCTTAGTCTTCTGTGGCATGCTCATTGAGTCGCTGAGAAGGCATGCATTAGTGAATTCCTGAGTTTTCAGCCATCCTAGGGCTTTTGTCACAGCCATGACCTTCATTGATATGCTACTGGTAGAGGCAAAGAGTTATAAGTATGAGAATATAATAACTATTTGTTTTACTTTGTGGCCTTATGTTAATGAAGAATTTACTTTGTGGTATATTGACAGCTTCGCCTTCACAGCTTGACAGACTTGCCAAGTTCTTTGTCCTGTTTGGCTACCTTGTAATCTACATCTTCACCTTCCCTGTGATGGTGTGGTTCAGTTTTAAGGTAAAGTATTTGCTTTACATGAATTTCATGTAAATTCAGTTTTTGAATAATAGCGTACATTGTTATCTACATCTTCACATTGCCCAGTATGATGTGGTTTAGTTTTAAGGTAAAGTATTTGCTATACAGCAAATGTATGCTACATTCTGTATTTGAAAAGCACTCGTTATTATCTACATGTTCCCCTGACCAGTCATAATATATTTTAGTTTTAAGATAACGGTTAAAGGTTAAAATCGAGAGGATCGACTTCATTGCGCCGGATTTTATCCCATATGGCTCGCTCTCTCCGCAGAATGGCTAGCCACCTGCCGAGAGCATCACACAGAACACAAATTCTATAGCTTTGACGATGATCCCCAGAATCTCCGTAAAAATTGCACTCGTGAACTGAATGACGCAGCCTTGATACAAACCCATGACTTTCAGAGCGCAAGGCAAATGGCTTGACCACTTTACCACCGAGACCCCCACTTTTAAGGTAAAGTATTTGCTATACAGAAAATCTATGCTAAATTCAGTTTTCTGATTAGCACACATTATTGTCTGCATCTTCACCTTCCCAGTGATAGCGTGGTTTCATTTTAAGGTACAGTATTTTATAGGAATTTCATGCGATACTCTGTATTTAAATTGTACACTTTAGATTCATTTTCTCTAAACATCTTAGCAATCGTTGTCATTATGTGACAAGTTCTTTGCAGAATATTGCTTCCATCATGGGCCACCAGAATGGCTTTCATTCCCTTGCCTTTTCCTTTGCATCCTATGTTTTTATCCTGGAGGATTTGCTAACATACTGTGATGTACTGTGTCCACCTTTTTGCTGGTCAGCTGTGTCTCTTCTTCTTTTTCACACTCACTGACTGTAAACTCTAACAGGAAGTCCACTTCTCGACTGTAGCCTTGTTTCCCGACTTAACTGAAGCATGCACATCTATTTGAAAGATTTGGCTTAGTTGTGTGGATGGCTGTTGGTTCCTCACCTCTCAGGCAGATGTACCCTAGCCCGAAGGAATACATCAATCTTATCTATGTTGGCCAGGCCGCCGGTTGGGAATCTGTTTCAAGGACAACTGCTGTAGGCATTGAACGGTTTGAGCCCTGGTGCTGTGGCACCACCTCTGCATCCTATCTCTTCTTCCAGGAGCCTTGCTTTTTTTTTTAAAATCACTCTTCTTTATAAACCACTTGGGTGTTTGATATATGTTTTATTTTTTATGTATTTATTCCTTTTTCCCCCTTGTTTTTCTGTTCCTTTCTTTTTATCATTTCTCCACCCCCCCCCAACCCTTTCCTATTCCAAATTTATTCAGTTCTGTTTCTTTCACTGCATAGATTAACTGTCCCTTACTTACTTACTTACTTAGTCGCTCCTCTTCTACCTTGGGGTGTAGAGGTTTGCCAGAGAGATCGCCAGACGTCTCTATCAGCAGTTTTCTTTCTGGCTTTGTTCCATTCCAGTCCTCTGTCAGTTAGGGACTGTCGGATGTTGTCTTCCCAGCGCACCCTGGGTCGTCCCGGAGGTCTGGTTCCCTGGTTCTTAGCCTCCCATGCTTGCCATGGTGGCCGATTTTCTCCCATTCTGCATACATGTCCAAACCATCGTAACTGTGACTGATCTACTCGGGTTACTAAGGGCTGGGTATCAAGATCTTGACGTATTGTCTGATTGCGGACTTTGTCCCTTCTTGTCACTTGGACCACCTTTCTCAGGTATCTCATTTCCGAGGCCTGCAGCTGGCTTCTGTGAGCTGTTGTCATTGCCCATGACTCACACCCATAGGTCAGGACTGGTACATAGGTAGAGCGGTAAACAGCCATTTTCGTCCTCTTGCCAATTTCTCTTTTGCTAAGAAACCCTCGGTTTATGGCCTGGAAGAGTCTCCCAGCAGCTGCTTTTCGTGTAGCCAGCTCAGTCTTAATGCCTCCATTTTGGTCTAATACAACTCCAAGGTATTTGAACTGGTTAACCTGCTCCAACGCATACTGTCCCATCATGATCTGGTGTTTCTTCTCCTCTCTTGAGATCACCATGGTTTTAGTTTTGGAGACACTGATGGTCATCCCTTTCTTTTCAAGCTCTTCCTTCCAGACAAGTAAGTTGGACTGAAGGTGTGCCTCTGATTTAGCTATCAGGGCCACATCGTCTGCAAAAGCCAGCTCTGATATACAGATTGGTCTCATCTTCCAGTACCGATTAACTGTCCCTGTGATGTTTATTTCACTTGTGTTGTAGTGTAGTATTCTTGTTCTTTTATTTGATTGTAAAGATTGTGATTCCAACTTTTGGTTGTACCTATGTCTGTTTTTCGTTTCCCTGCATTGAGCTTTCTAGTCATACTTTGTGTTGTGTTCGTTTAATTAAGGTTCAACTACAGTCAAACCTTTTTTTTTTCTCCCTGGAGGAGAATCCCAGGGCCACATTTTGGTGGGAAAATAAAGAATAGACTAACTGCCTCTTAACAAGTTTGTAATAAAAGTGGACTTATTAAGGGTTTGCTAAAATCGGGTGTGTTGGGCTGGATGATGCGGATATTGGGTGCGGATATTGCTGTCTAGCTATAAACTAAGTTCTTTGGTCATGTGATGAGAAAAGGAGCACTGGAAAAATATTGTGATGACTGAAAAGATCACCGGTAGACGAGACAGACCAAGAGAAATGATGATGGATGGCTTAAGACGGTGGCATGGAGAAACATCATCTGTGGAATTGATCCAGAACACCAAAAGACCGAGATCTGTGGCGATGCGAGAATGCCTACGCCAGCTGGCAAGGCACTTGATGATGATGAGCTGTAAACCACAACCCTAGAAATCATATCCGATGCTGAGGCCTTGGGAGCAGGTGAAGGCATCCACTGCTGGAGAAAGAGAATAGATCCATTGCCCCTTAACAAGCATGTCGTAAAAGGGTACAGCTAATTAGAGACTTACTGAAGTCAGATGTGTTGGCTAAAAAGATGTTGATATCACAGCCTAGCTGTAAGCCCCAACAGTCTGCCAACCTCCGTTTTAAGGGTAAACACAGTAGAAGAAGATATCCAATGCTCAGAGATCAGTGTTTGCCAGAAAAATGGGGAAGGTGGTTTGAATAATACACATCCTTGAAACCTGTTTTGTAAACTTGGAATTAAAGATAGACAAAATAGCATGTGTGAAATACCTCACATAACATATGGGATAAAGTTACTACACACATGATATATCCGTGGGTAAGCAAAAAAGTAAAGGGTTATGAGATGTGCTTACCTTCTATATCTTTTGGTTTCCAACAGAAAATCCCCCATGATGAAAGACTGGTGATATTCAGGCTGGGTCATCTGCATAGAATGAAGGGGCCAGGTAATCTCAGTGCTTTATTGATTAACTCTTCAATTCCCAGTTAACAGTCAGTTGCCTGTCCCTTACAGGAGGTTGCAGAACCAGCCTCAGCATTTGACTGTTAATGATTTTCGGTGTCAGTTATACATTCAGTAGTTTGCCATTGCTTTCTAAAAGGTTAGCTGTCGATACTACTGTCAAAACCAATGCAAGACGGTGCTGCTGCCAAATCACCTGCAGCTGGGATCAAACCCGGCACCTCGGCTATATGAACACTCCAAAAACATGGAGAAACAGGGTCTGACACAACCCCCTAGAGAGTGCTGCAAACTTTGTAACAGGCATTGTTTTTCTCAGAATGAAAACATAAATGCAAGACATCGCAGAAACCAAACAACAGAGTGGGACATACCCGTAACCTTCAGGAAAGTCGACCAGCCCAACAAACTTGTGATTGAAAACTCACCTTCTCTATTTGAGGAGACTAACGTCAAACTAAACGGGAATCTGATGCTGGTTTTATGAATGGGACTGGGCTTTCTTCAAAAATGACTGGCTCGACCCAGCCTTGAGTGGGTACCAGGTTCTTGGAAGTAAAGGCGACTGGTGTGATGTTGACCACATCACTCACCGAGTGCCGATTGGTCTATAAAATATAGGTCCATATGCCCAATACACCTGAAGGCGTGGAAAAGGGTCCTTTTTTACTTAGAAGAGAATTTAATAATAAAAAGAATCATCGCCGGAGGTACAGAGTGTGTGCTCTGTGCTTGATACCATCTTCAGGTGTCAGCGGAGAGAGTGGGAGGAGGAGAAGATGAGGAAGTTAGCATCCTTTGGATATTTTCTTAAGGTGAGGCTGTTGTGTTGGGAAATGAGCAAACAGATAGACTGGCCGGTTCTGCACAACTTAGTGGTGAACTGATGTATGACAAGCTGGATGTTGTGAGGGCCCTTTGGGAGCAAGTGAACAGTGCCGAGGCACAGATAGATCATTACGGTCTGAGGAGTTACAAGGGGATCTGGCCTCAGGGGAAAGGTGAGACGGATATACAATCAGATAGTTACTGGTACCATCGGAATTTTAACTTTTCACTTGCTGCTGAAGATTGGGATGGAGCACTTATGGGGGTGCTGTGATGTTGATTCCTAATTCAGCATTCAACATTCATCATTCTTAGAAGAGACAGGTGAACTTGCAGGAAAAACCTTATGCAGCTTCATCCACCCCTCAATTTCAAAGAGACAAAGTTACTGCTTAATCTTTTGATGTAAGTGAAGAGGAAAAAACAAGATGAGGACGACATACAGCCATACATGTTAGTGTAAATAAGAAAGACAGAGGAGATGACAAAAATCTGAGGAGGGCAGTTTCAACAAAAGGATTTAAAAGTTGCCACCTGCATTGTGGAGCACCCAGGCTAACAACACCAGGGCACCTTCTGCAGGACGAAACGGAGACCTGGCCATGATAGCAACTATAGGAAGTCCTGTAGATTTAACTGTCAGGAACCAGGAAAGATCTGTTACATCACCTTGTTCATAACCAGTGCCACAAAGCAAGTGGTGGTCACCAGAGAGGTAGTAGGAGAATGCCTTAAAGGCCAGAGAATCAACTTTAAAACTGCTGGGTTTTAACCCATATGAGTCATTCTCTCTACTTAGAATGGCTAGTTTCTCACGCAAGCTTTGCACTAAAGCACACACTCCATAGCTCTAGCAGCAGCTCCCAGGGATCTTAAACATACTTGCAGTCACAAACCAAAGAGTCTGAAATTGAATCCACAACCTTTGGAGCATTTGGCAATAGGTGTAATTCCCCCCCCCCCCCCCCCCCCCCCCCCCCCCCCCACCCCCCCCCCCCCCCCCATCCAAAAGTAGAAGAGTAGGAAGAACAATAAATACATGCATTTGAGCACTAATGGTATCTTGCCTTTTGTCTGTGTGCAGGATTCGTGTTTTTGTTTCCTGTTTTGGACCGCTGCCATACAATTGATGTTCGCCTAAAAGCTTTCAGTGTGCCACCCAAACAGGCAAGAGTGATGCTTTCTTTTTGCTGCACAAATTTTCTGTATATATATGATAGTCTCTTGTTCTCACACTCAAGAGTAGTTGCAGGTTACTGTGGTATTAGATGTTTTACTTGTCTGTTACAATAGAAGTAAGTTTTCTGTTACAGTAAAGTAAAGTAAAAGACCCTTTTCCACACTTTCAGGTGTATTGGGCATATAGGTCTAGACCTTTTTTTTATAGAACAATCGGCACTCGGGGGGTGATGTGGTCAACAACACGCCGGCTGCCTTTACTTCCCAGGACTCTAGCTGGTACACACTTAAGGCTGGGTCGACCTGGGAGCCAAAGTCATTTTTTTTAAAAGTCTGGCTCCATCAAGACCCGAAACTACGAGCTTCCAATCCCCAGGCCAAGTGTCTCTTTTACAGAAGAAGTTTAAAAAAATTTGTTATTTTGTGTTTAAGTATAATAGAAGTAGCTGTTTCATGTTAAACATAGAATCAAGTTTTCTGTTTAGCTGATATGGGATTATGTGTTATAGAAGTACCAGTTACAACATAAGTATCAGTTTTCTGTTGAAAGAAGACAACTATTCTGTAATACAATAAACCAGGAAAGCTAACCCTGGCAACAAATGCATGCAGAAGACAGATTTGTCAGCTGAAAGTTGCAAATATCGCAGCCATGTTGTAAGCGGGCACAACACATTTACATCTTCAGATGAATTAAGAACTTGAAAAAAAACAACAAAAAAAACACTGCAGTAAAAGCAGTAGTTTATGTTGCATTAGATAGGGGCTGCGTGGTCTCGAGGTATGGTGTTTGCCTCATGTGCTAGAGGTCCTGGGTTCAGACCCCAGTGAGGACTGGGATTTTTTCACTTGGACTTCTAGTAATTTTCACTGGTCTCTTGATAGTGAGATCGGACGCCCGTGTGTATTGTTGCACAGGCAAAAAAATCCCTTGGAAGTTGGAAATTGAAAAGAGTAGCACAGCCTGGGCAGAATATGGAGTTAAAAATCTACCTAAATTGTTTCAGATCCTTGCCAGTGCTACGTAGCCCGTGCACTGCACTTAGCTTCTTCTCAGACTTGGTTAGAAGAAGAAAGGAGCACTTATGGGTTACTGCCATGTGTCATGATGTTGATCTGTTGTTCAAACTTCAACTTTAAACTTATGTTACAGTAGATGGTGCAGTTTTCTGTTATCATAGATCTTGTGTTTTCATATTTAAATAGATGTAGCCATTTTCTATTACAATGGATCTAAAATGTTTATGCTACACTGGAAAGAACTGTTTTCTGTTTTAATAGGAGCATCATTCTTTCATAATAAAGGCTGTAGTTTCCTGTTATAATAAAAATGTAAGGATTTTTTATGTGCAGGTAACTCTGTAAGTCTTAAGGGGTTTAGTATCAGAGGCCCAAGGGGTGGTAATGTAACTTTGAAATGTCACAAGTGTTACACATTAAAGCCATGTCCCCTTTTGTCACATATTATGCACCAAAGTGACCAGGCATTGTTGAGAAATAGTATAAGAATCCTGCTTCAAAAATTAGCGTGTGATGCCTTCCTTGGTACTCAAAGAGTTAAGTAGCAGTGTTCTGTTAACTAGAAGTAACAGTAATCTCTTACAGTAGCTATAGCAGATTTTTGTTACTATAAAAGTCTCACTTGCAGTAGCAGTGGCATTTTTCTATTACAATTAAGAGTATGTTTTTTGTAGCAGTTTTGTGTTACACTATAAGTTAGTTATCTGTTATAGTAGAGATAGCAGATTTATGTTGCTATTAAATTGTCAGTTATAGTAAAAGTTGCATGTTTCTGTTACAGTAAATTGTATAAATACCAAATACATTTGATAACCAAATTCATAAAACAAAACATGATATACAATATTGTTCCATGCATAATAAAGGCTGTAGTTTCCTGTTAAAATATTTGTATAGTGGCATTGTCCCAAAGATTTCATTATCAACTATATAAATTTTTTTCAGGTCATAACAGAAGATGGTGCTATTATTGAAGTGGGAGCTGAGATTTATTTCCAGATTGTAGACGCTGAAAAGTCAGTGATCAGTGTACAGAACTTGGATCAGTCCACCCGAATCCTGGTGCAGACATCTCTTTGCAACATCCTGGCCAAAAAAACACTGGCCGACATAGAAGCTGAAAGGCGTCTTATTGCTGATACCCTCTTGGTAAGTGTGCTAATGCTCAGTTTTAGAAGCTGAAAGACATCTTATTGCTGATACCCTCTTGGTAAGTGTGCTAGTGTGCAGATATAGAAGGTGAAAGGCATCTTATTGCTGATACCCTCTTGGTAAATGCTAATGCTTAGAAACATTTGCATTAATCTTTTGCCAATGACTTTTTTTTTTAAAGAGTTTAATTATCACATCAGTTAGCTCCAAATCCTTTGCATAATATTGCTCCTATATAGGTCCTGAGGCCCTTTTGTGAGGAAAGAAAGAATGGACCCACTGCCTCCTAACAGGTATTTTATAGGAGGCGACTAATTAGGGATATTTCCTTCAATGTCTGAATGCATATGCCTGAGATGCTAGGAACCAACAGTCTGCACACAGGTAAGCTGGTTCTGTAAAATGAATACACATGCAAAACTCTGGAACAAGACCAAAGTTCAGAAGTAGATAAAGAACCAGAACTTTCTGCCAGTTCACAGCAGGGTATCAGTAGAAGAAGAAGGTTATGTTGCTTTCATTCCAACCATCAAGGAAAAGTCACAGTCTTATACCAGTTCACCTGCTTCATGTATGAACGAGCTGATTTGAGATGAGAACTGGCATCAACAGCACTTGGCACATTCTATAAGTGCTTCATCCCCAACCTTAGCAACCGGCAGTGGTACTATTAGCATTAGTGAATGAAGAACTGAGACATCTGCACTTGGGTCATTCCCACTCATGCCCTGTCCCCTTCTCCAATAGTCAGTGAAAGGTTCCTGTGATGATGTTGCTAATGGCAGCCTGTTGAAGTGTGCCTTTTTTTTTTTTGGTCCTTTTTTTTGCATTTGTATGCCAATAATCTTCTTACTGTCTTTACTTACCTTTGTGTTAGTCAAGAGCCATGTTTTCAAGTACTGTAGACAGTGGTACAAGTGGGTGTGGCTTAGGCGCTGTAAAGGAACTTTGTAATTCAGAGGTGCCCAGTTTGATTCCAATTGGTGATTTGGCAGCAGACTGCTGTGCATTGTTTCAAATGGGAGAATTGAATGCTGACCATCCAGAAAACAATGGCAAACTTTCGAATATAAAATTGCCCTAGTAAAACAAAATCAGCCAAAATATCAGGTTTGTTATGCACTACAATATGCCCAGTATGTGTCAGTGAGTAAAAACAGATCCTTTGCTTTTCTTTGTTCGTGCTTTCTATTTACATGATGTTTTTGGCATCACCCAGGCACACAGCAACAAGGCCAGCATGGACTGGGGTGTGGAGATATCAAGAGTCGAGTTGTGAGTTTGTGGGTTTTTTTAAACGTATGTCAGTAAAAGTTGGAGAACCACTACAATCAGACAGTTACTGGTACCATCGTCATTTTAACTCTTCACTTGCTGTTGAAGATTGTGACGGAGTGCTAATAGGGGTGCCCAGAGTGCTGTAATGTTGATTCTTCATTCAACATTTAGTTGGAGAACCAACTATGGAGTGAACGTTAAATGCGTTTGAAAAAAAAAGCCTGAGGTCAGTGTTGAACATAAAATGGAATAAATTCAAGAGGGTTGAAGAAATAAGAGAAATATCTGAGCAACTACTTGCAAGAACTGTTAAACGACAAAGAAGGTGGTGCTATATTGGACACATCTGAAAAGAAACAAGCAGAGAATCACCAAGCAGGCACTAAAATGGGAAATAAAATAAATGGGAGAAGCGAGGGTGCCTAAAAAAAAACCTAAAACGGACGTTGATGAGAGAGGCCAGAGGGGCTGGACTGAATTCCATCCATGATATCAAATGGATTGTACAGGATAGAATGGAGGAATAGACTGCAAGCTCTGTGTGACATTAAGGCACAACAGGATGATGATGATGGTGTTGCTGACCAGTACAGAAACTAAGACTTTTCCAGTGTGTCTGAATGGTTTGGTCATTCGGATATCAGTTACCTCTTAAAGTAATTAGATATGTATTTGATTCATTATTAATTGATTCCTTATGAGGACTGAGATTACACCATACTTGATTCATTATTAATTGATTCCTTATGAGGACTGAGATTACACCATACTTGATTCATTATTAATTGATTCCTTATGAGGACTGAGATTACACCATACTTGATTCATTATTAATTGATTCCTTATGAGGACTGAGATTACACCATACTTGATTCATTATTAATTGATTCCTTATGAGGACTGAGATTACACCATACTTGATTCATTATTAATTGATTCCTTATGAGGACTGAGATTACACCATACTTGATTCATTATTAATTGATTCCTTATGAGGACTGAGATTACACCATACTTGATTCATTATTAATTGATTCCTTATGAGGACTGAGATTACACCATACTTGATTCATTATTAATTTATTCCTTATGAGGACTGAGATTACACCATACTTGATTCATTATTAATTGATTCCTTATGTGGACTGAGATTACACCATACTTGATTTGTTATTTGGTCTCTCAGATTAAAATCATGTTTGTATCATTATTAGGTCTCTCAGATTATAATTGTTTGTGTCATTATTAGGTTTTAGATTAAAATCATGTTCAATTCATTATTAGGTCTTAGATTAAAATCATGTTTGATTCATTATTTGAGTCCCAGAGGGTTTAGCTTCAGACACCCAAGGGGTGGTAATGCAGTTTTGAAATTTCGCAAATGTTACACATTAAAACAGACCATACTAATTCAACTGCCACGCAACATACACATTATACATCAAAGTCACCATAATAAGGGAATCACACTAGACCCAACTAACACTTAATAATATCGCCTTTATGATTAATATTTATTCTCTTTGTACCAGCTGACTTTGTTATCGTTGTAGGCTTTGCGTCAGGTATATATCAGAGTCATCCCTCATCAAAGTTTGACTGTATCAATGCCAAAAAACAAGTTTAACACATAACTTTCTTTGTCTGGCTTTGGGTAAATCTGATAAAAACGTTTTATTTAAATATGAGGCTTCTAAAGTCATAAACCTTGTTGGCATGCATACACAGTACCTCGGTAAAGCTCGCAGACATGCTGCATCTTATGCTTTTAACCACGTTAAAATGTGCCAATCATCAACATATGACACATCAAACACAAAGACCAGGAAATACCACTCAAAACTGCCAGTGTTATACTAATGTGAACTAAAAACCTGGACACTTCACACACCGATTGGCCTCCTGGGTTGTAACCGATTAACGCATGATGTTACTCAAAGGGTTAAGTCTCTCAGATTAAAATCATGTTTGATTCATTATTAGGTCTCTCACTTTAAAAGCATGGGAATTCATTAGATTTAAATTTTCTTTGATTCATTATTAGGTCTCAGATTAAAATACTCAGCAATCCGCCTGAGAAGAAACCTCCCATGTTTGTGAAACCACCAGGATTGTTTGGATTGGATGCCGGGGGCATGCCTGAAGCCTTTGCACAGCTAGCTGCGGCCTTAGCAACACCTCAAGGTATGCCTTAAACAGATTTGCACAACCCTTGTTTTATGTAATTTTCTATCCTGTGAAATCTTGTTTCTCTTTTCATTATTAGTTTTCCTCATGTCTTCAGGATGTGAAGAGTGTTGTGGAATGATCTATTGGGTGTATTTCATTTATTGATGTTTCTAGTCTCGGTTAGGCCGTTTAAGAGATTAGCGCCACACTGCAAATTCTCCATACTCCCACAGTGGACACATTGCAGCCAAACTCAAATGTGGCACAATTGTAAAAAAAAAAATATGCCACATTCATATTTCCTATTTTTGAATAGTATTTTACTTTTTTGTTTCAGTTTTGTTTTTAAATGCCATTCATACTTCTTATTTTTGAACAATATTTTACATTTGTTTCTGTTTAATTAGAGTAGTAATAATGTGTGTGGAGCTACCCTATTTGGTAATTTTAATTTTTTCCTTAACTATTTTAAGCTGCTGTTGGGGTTTTGAAAATGAGGCCTGACACTGGCATTAAATTCACTTGTTTATTAAAATGGACATTTTTTTTATCTGGTCTATCCTGTTTTTACACAATTTAAACAGGTATTCTAAGCTTACAAATGTAAAATAAACTTTTCTGAAGAAATCCAAACGTGATAAAAATAGGGGTGCCAGCAGTCCAGTTTGTATAAAAAAAATTAATTCACTGAACGCAGGCAATGACTTGGAAGTTTGGGAAACCTCAAAAGGCTGCAACTTAAAAGAAGGGCGTAAGTTTCTTTGCATGTTTTTGCCGTCCCCCTTCTTTGAGCTTCCGAGTCATAGCTTATGTTCTGTTGTATTTATATCTATGAAGAAAGCTGTCACTGTAGCCATCCAAGACCAAGTAGAATCAATACTGTCAGACTGATTGTGAGAATAAAAGCTTGTTCATGAGAAGTAAACGATGAGATATTTTAGGCATATGGCTAGAATGCATCAAAATCTATTATCAGCACATGCACAATTTCTAAGAAGATTTTTTTATGAGCACAAGAGGGCAGGGACCCATCATGGTTTAGCAGCTCTTACCTGCAAATCAGATGATTGTGAGTTCAGGTCATGACGGAACTAGATTTTTTTTTAAATGACCTGACCGAGTGCTGATTGGTCTATTAAAAATAAGTCTAGTCCTATATGCCCAATACGCTTGAAGGTGTGGAAAAAGGTTCTTTACTTAGAAGAGGGCAGCCAAGAAGAAAACGGATAGGTGAAATAAAGAACAGTGTCATTTACATGGAATGGCAGAACCATAGGACGCTGCACTACAATTATTCTGCTCCACCACCACCATACTCATCAGCATTCTGTTGTGTTATTGTGTTGTTCGTCCATTACAAGTGATGAATACCACTTTTTATCCAAAGTAGTAATGATCAATTATTGGTGGCTGATTAGTCCAATATGAGCCATGAAAGTTATTGAGCAGTGCGGACAACAGGTGGAAGCTGCAGTAAGTGTTGGATTAGCAATACAGTTCTTTCTAGCCTGCCTCCGTTTCTCTGCCTGTGCAACCTATGCTGCCTGGCAGGCTGATGCACCATGCCTGAGGGATGTAGGTCATTCAGAACGGTCTTGTGCAGCAGCCTCCCACATCGCTGTGTTAAGCCAAAAGAATTGAGAGCAGTTTTGAGGGTGTCTTTATAGGGCTTTTTCTATCTTCCCAGGAACCTCTTCCCTTGCTGGAGCTCCCCGTAAAATACTCTCTTTGGGAGGCAATAGTCTGGCATGCGAGCTAGGTGACCAGCCCAACACAGCTGAAAATTCTTTAGTATCATGTGGATGCTAGGCAGGTTTGCCCTACCAAAAACCACAATATTTGGGATCCTATTGTACATCACATAGAGCGGGCAGTCCTATCCTCCATTTTATTCTATTCTTTTTAATCCATTAAGTATCATGGCTGGAATCCACTTCAGCACCTCTGACTTCTCTTATCAATGTCCATTTTAGAGTTTTACTTGGACGTTTTCATTTCCTCAATCTTTGGTTCGCATTTCAGTTCCTGTTTATTGATTCTTTGCTTACTTCTTCTTAGGATGAACCTAGTATTGCACCATTTGCTTTGTCTTATAACTGTTAAAATCACCCATTCTCCAGGCATGTTTTTTATTTCTTCACCTTTCTTCTTCTTCTTTTTCTTTGCGTTCACCAGCTGTACACTCTGGTGGAAAGTTCTGGTTGTTCGTCCACTTCTGAACTGCAGTCCTGCTCCAGAACCTGAGTGTTGCATGTGCATTAGTTTTACAGATCTGATTCACTTGAATGCAGACTGTTGGTTCCTTGCCTCTCAGGCAGATGCACTCCGATTTCAAATTAAGCTCCCCAATTAGTCGACTCTTACGACATGCTTTTGGGTAGGCAGAGGGTCTATTCTTGTTTTCCCCACGATGGGGCCCTGGAACCCACACGGGGATTCACCTTTCTTGACCTCATCCCATTTCCCATTGTGGGGAAAACAAGAATAGACCCACTGCCTTCCCAACCAGCATGTCCTAGAAGTTGACTAATTGGGGACTTCCTTTGAAGTTGGAGTACATCTTCCAGAGTGGCAAGGAACAACCAGCTGCACGAATAAGTTAATTAAATGGATGTACATGTAAAACAGGCCCTGGTACAAAGCCAGAGTCCAAACGGACGAACAACCCGGACTTTTCACCAGAGGTTACAGCCAGTGAACAAAGATGAAGAAGATCCCGTTTAACTCTATGAGTCCCAGGGGGTTTTGCATCTGAGGCCCAAGGAGGGGTAATATGATTTTGACTTTTAACAAATGCAGCACTTTAAAACAAACCACACAACCGCAGCTGATGTCCAACATACACATATCATACATGATATTTAACATAAATGGATAAGGATTAATATTAGCATACTGCTACAACAAACAATTATAATGTTAGTTAGTATTTAGTAAGAGAAAACAGTGACTTAGTTTGAGAGGTGAGTAAATTATGAACAAGTTTTTTCAACTTACCCAGAAGCTGATCCCAAAATTCTTGATACAGTATATCCAAAATGCATCACAAAGGAAGGTACACCATTTTTAAGCATGCACAGCCAATATTAAAGCAAAATGTGCAATAGTTGTTGTTGCATAGCAATTTTAATAACACTACCAAAACACGTCAAAATATATTCTCCAGTGGCACAAACAGTGACATTTCTAAAAACAATTGAATTCCTCACATAGAAAAAACTGTAAAGGCACTGTAAACATGTCCGCTTTTTTATAGATATATATCTATAGTTTTAGATGATTATGGATAGTAGTACTAGAAGCGCTGACATTTGGACTAGCTGGTGTCGCGTTACGAGGTGCTTCTCTTGTGTTGCCATGGCAGAATTAGTCAGTTTTGTCCTCTTAGCAGGAGGTAAATTACGCACACATCCTCATCAAAACTTGACTCGTCAACAGTTTGGGGAAATTTCACATCGCTACTATCATTATCCAACTCCACATTACTTTAATCGATCCACTGTTTTATCAAATTTGATGATTCTAAAGCAGTAAATCGCTTTGATGGGCATGAAGACGATGACTGATCGGACATATTGTTTTCAGACAATTGTTTGGTAACGTAGTAGACCACACAAATATCGATTTAAAGCGTTAAAAACTCACCAGACCCAAACAAATGCACTCTACGTGTGTTCACTACACACTTGAGAACCGGAAAGGAAGTTTAAATTGACCGGTTCGCGTGTAATTACCGATAAGTGGTAAATTAAAAACCGTCACACATCATGCGCTGTTTGGGCCGCCAAGTAGGAACAAATTAGCGCTTGATGCGTTCCTTGGGACTCAAAGAGTTAACTCTTTGAGTCCCAAGTAACGCATCATAGGTTCATAGGTTCCTACCTAAAAGCCCAGTAAACACAAGATGCGCTGCTTTTACGTCTCTTTTGACCACTACTTAGGGTTGTGATGTTCAGCCCCCTGGCACTCAGAGAGTTATTGTTCATCAGTCTCCTCAAGCATTTGTTTTCGAATGCATCCAACTTTTGATCCATGTCTTGATGTCAAGGGTGGTGAACGTTGATGATTTATTCTAGCCACAGCCCAACCTTTTAGAATGATACCAACAGTTTCTGTTGGAAAATAAAAGTAGATAGCGGGAACCTGGCATCACTACCTAAACCAGCCCATCACACCAGATACCTATAAAGGCAGTGGTGAGTTGGGCCTGTAACAGCTGTAATCACTTCTTATGCTTTCCATTGTCAAAGAAAAATGACTTATTTTACTATTTATTATTGCGCTTTAGTATTTATTATTGCAGTTTAGTATTTATTACAAATACATTCTTAGTTTGTGTCTCTAACATAGCAGAAAGAACACTCGCTGCATGATTGTGCCGCTAATGCAGAAACTGTAACATATGAAAGGCGACCAGTTACTAGTACTATGATGCTAACTGCACACGCATACCCTTAACAGCAAAGTAACGAGGAGAAAAATATCACGTAATACCCTCTCCAGTGTGATCGTTACCTGCTAACGCCTACATATGCAAATTGATTATGCTTCACTGCTGCTAAAATTAGTTAATTTTTTCAGTATCTTTCAACCTACCATACATTTATCCATTATTCAATTCATGGTTTACATTTCTGACCTTCTTATTTTCACATTCTTTATAACAAAAACACATTCCTTTTTATCTTCATTTGCCTTTGAAATGGTGGTTATGTTGTGTTTTAAAGCTAAGCTGTGATATCTGCAGCTTTCGGCGCAACACATTTGATTTTAGCAAATCCCTAATTAGATAAGATTTACCACATACTTGCTATGGATCAGTGTGTCCCCCTTCCCACCAAATGTGGGACCTATGTGTTACTTTAAATCCTTGTTTTTCATAGTTGTATTAATTAACGTTAACAGATTCAAACATTTTTTTTTTAGTGCGCACAATCTTTGCAATGTCGGGGTTGATAGAGTTAAAGACATGTTTAAAAAAAAAAGATTGTTTGACCTGCTTATGTTTGAACTCTACAGGTCCAGGACAAACACAAGCTATCACGCAGGCGATGCACTCCATGGTGGCAGGTTTTGTCCCAGACATGAACAGCTCCCCCAGCCTGACCTCAGAAACAAATGACCTGGCTGCGTTTTTAAGATCAAGTGATCATGACAACATAAAGCATAATCTCCATGATGGTTGGCCAGGAACAGCCTCCATGGCACCGTCGTTGCCACCGGCGATGCCGTTGGCTTCGTCAACACAGACGCCACCTATCCTCAGACCAGAAGATGTGTTGGCTCAAATAAGGATGTGTTTGTGTGAAAGCATGGTGGAGAAAGTTCAGGGGACATATCAGTTTGAGATTTCTGGAGCAGGAGCTGGTATTTATTATTTGGATTTAAAGCATGGTGAGTTTGTATTCTGCTTGATTGCTGAGGTTAACTCTTTCACCTCGTGAACATTAAAAAACAAATAGGCCATGACCCCGTTAAAATTTATGGGAAAAATCTGTAAACAAATTTTTTTTTACTTATTAAGTTCATTAAAAAATGTATTAATTTTTACCCACTAATAAGTTAATTAAAAAAAGTATTCATCTATATTTTTATCTTTTAAAAAAAATATATATATATGTGTGTGTGGGAAGATTGTTTAAAGGAGTAATTTTTTTTTAATTTGTCTGAGTGAGATAACTGCATTGTGCTTCTCACAGCAAGACTGATATTTGTGTCTTTCCTCAGACACATCTATCTTCATCAAGCATTTGTTGACTGGGTTAGCTTTTTGGGAAAGGAGTAATAAATAAACATTAAATGAAATAAATCGCCTGTGGCCTAAAAATTAAAATATATAAACAACACATGTATCAGGTGATTTTTGCCATGACCTTATGTCCTCAGTCACTGAGCCATACATGAAATTGACCTCAGCTTGGCTCAATAAAAGCCATTCAGCTCAAAGAAAACCTCATAATTGCTATTTTTAGTTAATATATTCATATACTGACCCCCTTAAATGTTTGGACAGGCACGAAGGCAGCCAGTAGCCTTAACTGTGTCTCGTAAACAGGTCACTGTAGACAATTTGGAAAAGTGACATTTACAGGGAATTAACCCAACTGGAATTATCGGTTTTTCAGCTTCTCAGGGTAAAACAAGAATAGACTCACTGTCTCCCCAACAAGGAGTAGACTAATTGGGGACTTCCTTTGAAGTCGGAGAGCATCTGCTGGAGCAACAAGGAACAACCAGCTGCATACAGATAAGCCAGTAAAACAGATGTACACACAAAACTCAGATGTACACACAAAGCTCAGGTCCTGGCACAAAGCCAGAGTCCAAATGGACGAACAGTCAGGACTTTATGTCAGAGCTTACAGCCGGTGAACATGCACAAGAAGTTGATGAATTACTTTGACTTAATTATTTACATTGCTTTGTTTATTGATTATGGCAGGGTTATCTTCAGGGCTGGATTTAGGATGTGAGATGCAACTGTGCAATCATTTTTATTACACCCCCTCTTCCCTCAGCAAAACTTTATTCATTATTCATATCACTGTTTGTTATTTGAACAAATATGCAAGTAAAAAATTTATAAATTATTTTGAATACCAGAATATATGGTAAATTTACAGAAACTAATCACTGCAGTTTTAAAACCCATAAGCAAAATTATATCACATTAAAATCTCCGTATGGGTTCCGGGCCCCATTGTAGGGAAAACAAGAATAGAGCCACTGCCTCTCCAACAAGCTTGTCGTAAAAGTCGACTAATGGGTGCTTCCTTCGAAGTTGAAGTGCATTTGTCTGAGAGGCAAGGAACCAACAGTCTGCATACAGTTAAGCCAGATCTGTTGAACAGATATACACGCAACACTCAGGTTTTGGTACAAGACTAAAGTCTAGAGGTGGACAAACAACCAGAACTTTCTACCTGAGTTTACAGCCAGTGAAGGGGAAGAAGAGGAAGAAGAAGATATCACAGAAACCTCTAATTCAGTCATTCAAAATATTTCAGGATCCTCGCCGATGCAACAAATGTTTTTGCACTGCGCTGAGATATACTCCAGACTCAGGCTTGAGTTAGAAGTAGAACGGAGTTCTCACGGGTTACACCCATGTGCCATGATGTTGATTCGTTCAATAAAGATAAACACCTTCTATAAATCATTCTGAAAAGTTTGTATCATCTCAGAAAATGATATTTTATGTTATTCTGCACCAGAACTCATTACCATATAAGAAGCAGTCTGCTCCTCTGTCTTCTTAGTTTTCATGTCTTTCTGATTTCAAATTCAACTCAGACCGTTCATTCAAAATATCTCTTACTTTAAAATTTGATGCCTTGGTTTTGAAATCCACACAGACCTGAAGAAGGTGTAACTGATTCTGGACTCCTGGTGTGAGTCAGTTGCTTTTCTGCTGAATCCTGCTAAATGTCAGAAAGATCTTAATTCATTTTAAAACATAGGATTAGAGTCATGCATTTCAACTGCAGTTGAAATGTCCACATCTTCGGCTGGCAGTTATTTCATTGCTTTGCCAAACTGTTGCTGAATACAGCCCCACATATATTTTCTGCCATTCTGCATATAATAATAATTATTGATAATTATTATTATTGTGCACTTTAAACAAAGCTTACACCCCCCCCCTCCCCCCATAGAGAATTATAAGGGGGCTAAGCACACAGCTCCCAAGCTCACGTGGTGGCCTCCTGTGGAAAACAGACATCTGATTCATTTAATCATTGACTGATATTAGCATGTAATTCAGGCATGAATTAACACTGCACATACATACTGGCTGAGATTAGGCATAGGCTGGTAGTTATACTGTATAAGTTATAGATGTTTCTTTATAAACAGATTCCAGTGGCAGGAGAAACTCTGTTAAGGACTGTAGTAAATGTTTGTCCATTACTTTATGTAAATCTGTTAATAATGAAAGATCTGATACCATTTTTCATTTCTGCTTGCAATGTCAGGTCGGGGAACCCTGGGCGAAGGTCCAGATCCAAGTGGTGACCCTGAAGCAACCTTGAGCTTGACCTTTGATGACCTTCAGGCCATGTTGCTCGGTGAGCTGAAGCCGTTCCAGGCCTACATGAGTGGAAGACTGAGAGTGTCTGGGGACACAGCAGCGGCCCTCAGACTTGAAGAGTTGGGCAACAGACTGAAGTCCTTGACTGTGTGAGGCAGGTTCACTGACATCTGTGATATTTTGGGGGACATTTGAACAGGTCCCTAATGTATGGAAAGCCATTCTGATAAATGTGATTTGAGAAGTCATTTGATATACAAATTGTAATTCTATTTTAACCTCCTATATGGGTAGTCTTGATATATCGGTTTTATCTACTTAAAGTAGATAATTGATGTTAGAAATATAACAAACTCCTGTTCTGATTTTTTTTTTTATTTGTAATTTTCTTGTTCTCCTTGCTTTTCTTCTTCTTCTTCTACTCATTCTCATTCTCCTCCTCCTTCTTCTTCTTCATATCCTCTCTTTGTTCAATGTTGTTCTGAGAATGTGTGCACGAGAATATTTTTCTGGATGTTTGATGGTGAAAATGAGTTCTTGTTAAGACGTCATGATATCTTTGCGAATGAGTCCTTGTTTGTGTGTATAAATCCTTGTTTGTATGTATGGGTCTTTGTTTGTATGTATGGTCATTGTTTGGTCTGGAATTATTTTCAGCTTATTATTGTGCCTGTCCATGTATACAACTGCTTCTATATGAGTGATTGTTGTTTGTTTCTTATTTGTTTACCTGCACAGAGGTGGCTTCTGTGTGAGTGGCTGTTCTGTTTGTTCACCTGCACTGAGGTGGCTTCTGTGTGAGTGGCTGTTCTGTTTGTTCACTGGCACAGAGGTGGCTTCTGTGTGAGTGGCTGTTCTGTTTGTTCACTGGCACAGAGGTGGCTTCTGTGTGAGTGGATGTTCTTTTTGTTCACTGGCACAGAGGTGGCTTCTGTGTGAATGGCTGTTCTGTTTGTTCACTGGAACAGAGGGAGCTTCTGTGTGAGTAGCTGTTCTGTTTGTTCACTGGCACAGATGTGGCTTCTGTGTGAGTGGCTGTTCTGTTTGTTCACTGGATCAGAGGTGGCTTCTGTGTGAGTGGCTGTTCTGTTTGTTCACTGGATCAGAGGTGGCTTCTGTGTGGGGCTATTCTTTTTGTTCACTGGCACAGAGGTGGCTTCTGTCTGAATGGCTGTTCTGTTTGTTTACCTGCACTGAGGTGGCTACTGTATAAATGACTATTCTGTTTGTTCACTGCCACAGAGGTGGCTTCTGTGTGAGTGGCTGTTCTGTTTCTTCACCTGCACTGAGGTGGCTACTATGTGAATGTCTGTTCTGTTTGTTTCCTCTTTGTTTGCCTGCACAGAGGTGTATGAGTGTTTTTCTGTTCAGTATATAACAGGTTACCTAATTTTATTCAAGTACATCAGTGTATGTGAGACTGTACCTGACCAGCGACTTTGTTCTAGCGTATGCAATTCTGGCACCTTGTTGTTTTTTGTTTTTTTAAGTGCTACTATAATATACACTTTATAATGAGTCCCGGCACCTGTTTTAGACACTTTGTGAACTGAGGGGGGAAAACACAGAAAAATCCTTTAAAAAAAAATGAATTTGCAGTTACTTTCACAACAAAAATTAATACAGTTTTGAAAAGAAATATGTGAATAGGAATAATCAATGAAAATTCATGTGGTGAATGAAATAGAATGCATCCCTTTGGGCCTAAAACATTATGTGGTGACTCATTTGTGCATGCACAAACAGAACCAATGACATTAACTAGGATTGTCAAGAACTGGCCAATGCAGCAAAGCTGATAAATAGGCCTCACTGGGATTTGTATCTGATGGCAAAGTCTATGTATTGGTGTCTCGGTGTGAAAGGTTTGATATCACTGGCAGTAACTTCAAATGGTGCTTAGTAGCAGGACCTTTACTTATTGTCTCTCTTCCATTACTTCTTCTTAAAGTCCTGCTGTGTGGCGTTCGTAGTCATGTCTATTCACAACATTCTGTCTTGTGTACTTTCAATCGATACAATCGATACAGATGATCCTCCACGCCATAATGTCAGACTGTCAAGCATCTTTTCTGTTGGTCTCCCTCAGCCTCTCCTCCCCTCCAACTTTCCTATTGTCACAATGTACTCCAGTTTTCTCCTTCTCCTCACATGACTAAAGAATGCAGACTGTCTCTTTCTGATGTGGGCAATCAGTTCTCTTCGTTAGTCAGTTTCAGATTCTTTCAAGACATCCTCATTACTCTTTTTATATGTCCAGGGTTTTCTCATCATTTGTCCATAAACCCGCAGCTTCAACAAATTTTTTTCACTAATCTACAAATGTCCGTGATTCACTTCCGTATATTAAGATATGATTTATATAGCTTTTAAGAATTCTTTTCCTCATCTCAATTGAAAAAGAAAAATTATTTTAAATTTATAAAATATTTTTCATTTTGTTAAATGCTGCATTTGCTCGAGCTATTCTACATTCTACATTGGGCTATTCTCCCATTACAACCCGCATGAAAGACACTCAGTCCCTAGCCAATTCTCTTTACCTCTTGTACTTGTCTCCCCCATCTTGTGTCCACATTCATGCATCTTTTAGAATATCAATATTTATTTTTTCTTGGTCCTAGGTACTTTAAGAATCTTTTTGTATCTGTACCATTTCAGCTTAAACCCTTTTCTTCCCAAGTATTTTGCAAGATAGGCACAACTTACATCCAAATGTTGCCACAGAGAAAATGCATGCTCTAAAAAGTGTGATTTGAATAAGTGTTTTAAGAATTAATATTTGTTAAATATAATTTTTTGTGTACTTTATGATACTGTCATGACATCAAACATACAGACATTTCTGTAAATCACTATCTGTGATACTTTTTTTTATTTTATAATAAACTAATTCTCCTTGTGCTCATTGTTTATGTTTGTAAATAATTAATTATATGTGTTCTAAATGCAAATGTTGATCAGCATCATCATTCTGAAGCAGTTGTGAAGCTCTCATCACATACTGCCTGAAAGAAACCTAGTCTCTTCAGATTTCCCACCTTGTGCACGTTCCTCTTATGCACTCATATTCTATGCCTATCTTCATGCTAACCGGCTTCTGCTTCTCTTTCGTGGCACCATTCCTTCTGCTGCTGTTCTCTACAAACCACCATGATGGTCAAAATATTTTGTTTTTGAGACAAGGTGCTGTTTACTAGCCAATCTTCTGTGATGTTTAGATCTTTTAGGATGTCAGTAGTTCTTGTTTTCTTAGTCCATGGTGTACTGAGAACATGCTAGGGTTGATAATGGTCAAGACCCATGTGCTGAGGGCATGGAAGCCATAGTTTGCACACAAAAAGCCAGGTTTTTAAAACACATCTGCACACAACACTCAGGCTATTGAAGTAAAGTCCGGAAGTGGGCTAACAACCAGAATTTTGCACCGGAGTTAGAAACTAGTGGGAGCTCCTGTGGTGTAGCAGCTAGACACTCGGAAGGGCGTGGGTTCGAGTCTTAATGGAGCCAGACTTTTTTTTTTTAGAAATGACCTTTGTTCTCAGGTTGACCCAGCCTTGAGTGGGTAATAAGTAAGTCTTTGGAAGTAAAGGCCGCCGGCGTGATGTTGACCATATCACCAACCGAGTGCTGATTGGTCTATAAAATATAGGACTAGCCCTGTGTGCCTGATGCCACTTAAGAATGGAAAAGTGTCCTTTACTTTACTTTAACAACCGTTGAATACAAATAAAAGAAGAAGAAGCCTATTAAATCTGTATTACTTCCTGTATTTTACACTGTTTAGGGGCGTGTTAGACAGGGAGGGTCTTGAGCCCAAGGATGTAGTCTCCACAGACTGGGGTTTTTATTTTTGTCCTCAACAGCAAAAATGTCCACCAGCTTAACGAGGATTCACACTCAGTTCTCAAATGGTGTACTACTAATTGTTGGCACCCTAGATAGTCTTTGTGTCTGACTTCACCCTTTATAACGTGTAGTTCTTGTAGTGTAATCAAGTTAACTGTATTATCAATATTGTTTGAGAAACATCTTCTTCATCACGTTCACCGGCTGTAAGCTGTGGTAGAAAGTTACGGTTGTTCGTCCACTTCTGGACTTAAGTCTTATTCCAGAACTTGTGTTTTGCATGCCCATCAGATTCACAGATCTGGCACATTTGTTGTGCAGACGGTTGGTTTCTCGCCTCTCAGACAGAAGCACTAGGACTGTGAAAGAAACACACCTAATTATTTGCCTTTTACCACATGCTTGTTAAAGCAGCAGTGACCCTATTCCCCACCTTGCCACAATGGGGCCCTGGAATCCACATGTGGACTGTAAGAAACATATCAAGCTTGTTAGGATGCAACTGAATACTTGCCCTATGTTAACCTGTCAATTCAATATTATGCCAAAATAGCTTATGTCCGGCTTACCACTGATGCTCTGATTTTTTTCCAGATAGGTTTTTCTGATGCAAATTCTCCATTTCAGGACCGGAAGTCAGAAGGTTCCATCGCCCAACTCCTGAACTGAGTACTTGCTGCGTCACTTGAGTGGGATTTCATGTGGAATGTTCGGTTGTGCCCGTGGGGTGTTGTTGACTGCACTTAAATGTTGGGTGGCCAATTGCTTTGGGACTGCCATGTACTTTTGCAGCCGGTGCAGTGCCAGCTTTCAGGACTGGCTGTTTTCACCAACATTAAGCTGCAATTCTAGTATATGATCAAGCTTTTGCTGGGACCTCAAGTTTTTCTAAAGTGGATGGTGAAGGACATTTTGTCAGCACTTAAGGGGAAGGTGACATGGACAGTCAGACAGTTACTGGTGCCATCAGAACTGGAACTCTTCGTTGGCTGCTGAAGATGAAGACAGAGCACTTATGGGAGTGTCCCGAGTGTTATGATGTGGATTCCTAATTCAACATTCTTAACTGCCAATCTATTAGCCTGATCTTTTTTGATTTTTTTTGGGCACTCCTGTGTACCCTAGCGTGGAAATAAAATAATCTTTTTCAGCCCCGACCACCTCAGAAACACTAACCACCGTCTTCGAACCCAGCTCGAAAAGAGTACCACGTCAGAGTAGTGGCTAGCACCGACGCCCAGTTTTTTAATGTTTGAATCCCCAGTGGGGTGAGGATTTGTTTTCTTTAGAGATGACTTCTAGTT